AGGGCGGTGCAGTGGGCGCCCAGGGCCTTTCAGGGAACGCCAATCTGTCTGGTCCGGGTGGTTTTTCCTCGGAAAATGGCTGCGGAGGAGGAAGAAGAGGTGGAGGATATGGAGGAGGAGGAGGAGGAAGAGGGGAATGAGGAGGAACGGAAGAGGAGGGAGTCGTCGACGGGAGGAGGAGGATGCTGTTGACGGGAGGAGGAGGGCGAGGAGGAAGAGCAGGAGGAGATGGAGGAGGAGGAGGAGGAGGAGGAGGAGGAGGAGGAGGAGGAAGAGGAGCAGGAGGAGGAGGAGGAGCAGGAGCCAGAAGAGGAGATGGAGGAGGAGGAGATGGAGGAGGAGGAGGAGGAAGAGGAGCAGGAGCCAGAAGAGGAGATGGAGGAGGAGGAGTCAAGAGGTCCCCAAGACGGTCCAGATGCGCCCCAATGACGGACTCTGAAGGCGCCAGACGAAGCGAGGGAACCCGAAGACGGCCCAATACAGGTTCAAGGTGTCACAAAAGAGCCCCAAGCGGACCCCAAGAAGGCCCAAATGGCCTGAAAGGAACATGAAAAATACGACAGATAAAAAATGACAGCAGAGGGCCCCTCCCCAGTGTTCCACCAGCGATTTTCCAGAACGATTTGGGATCACGCAGTCCAAGGCATAGCCGCACCTTCGCTCGACCTTCAACCACACAGGCGCTTCCAGGATGCAGGGGGCGGAATTGATTCGCCGCAGGCGTCTTCGATAAGTTTCGGAGCAGCCGCCGGTTAGCAGGGCGAGCATGATGTGAGCCAACGCACACGAGCCATGACCGTTCCCGACCCACCCTCATGACTGACAACGGCTGACGTCGCCACCACACAACCGAAACACAGCAACACCACCGCAACAACAGGTCTGTTCCCTTTTAGAGCCCAAAGCGTGGCAACTGCAAATGCGAGACTTATGACTTCTTCCAGGTCACGAAGCCCCAGGAGTAGCAAGCAACAGCCTCGCCCTGCGCATGCACTCGGCGGCACACCGACTGGCTACTAGTGAATTCAAAATGGAAGCGGCAGGAGGACGGGAGGGCGAGACCACAGACATTGTGAGGAATACCTGGCGCCAGCCGGCCAAGAGGCGCTGCTCGATGCCGAAGCACACTGACAGTCTTACTCCGCAGCCAGCAGACTCGTGCTCCTGCGGCGAAGTGTCTTATAACACGGCCCAGAGCGGACCTGAAGATACATTCGAAGACGACTGCACCAGCGTGAAAGTGAGGACCGTTTTTGGGACTTGGGCCATTCTCAAAAGATATCTCGAGCGACTGGGGTTTTCACGGTCTCAAATTCGTCCTCGCGATGTCGATGTCATCTGATCATCATGTCACCAGGCGGACTCGGGACCCCTGACAATGCGCTGGACACTCCACAGAAACGTGTGGAGCTGGCAATCCAGATGTTGCTATCAACCGCCATGCAGCGACTTGCAAATAACGCCGAGGCTGCACAACTTTGACATTTTGGCGTCTACCGAAAGCCACGCGTCGGCCGTGACTGCCTGCCGAGATACCATTGCCTCTGTGAGTTCAGCCGCTGCGGCGCCTCCCAGTCGGCGACATTCATCTGTCGGAAATGGCCGCATTACTCACTGGAGGAAGAGGGGTCGTAGGTAGGGGGCAACTGCGAGCGGCGTGAGGAGGGAGGGCGGCGAATTGAAGGGCATACGGCTTGCCCTTCAGCATCGGGCGTAGCATTAATAAAACAAATGTGAAACGAGCATCCAAATCGGAGAACCGGTGGAAAACCAGGCGGTTGCCGACGCCAGCGAGCGTACAGACTTGGATGGCAGATGCCGATAGGAGCCCAGTTCATGCTATTCGCGATAACGCCCGTCACCGGCCCCGCCGGCGATAACGCCCGTCACCAGCCCCGTCCTCCCCCCAGTCACGTCACCCTTCGCGCTGGCGCCGTCTGGGACACACATCCCTACCAGAATGCCCAAACGGTGCTGGCCCGGCGCGGATCGTGACGTGGTGATAGTCGGTCTCCAGGACCGAACAAAACTGGACCTAGTGTCCATAGGAAAACCCCCGCCAAACGGCGGAACCGCGATGACATTGGCCGCGAATGAATTCCTGGGTGCCCGACCGCAGGCCCAGCACAACGCCCCTGGCCGGGCAGACTATACGCTAGGCCGCCAGCACCCTGACGGTCTGGCGTGGTGGCGCGACTTTGCCGCGAGCAGCCGGCTACACACCCCAGTTGTTCCAGAGTCTCGGTCCTCGACTATTTTCCTCCTCCTCCTCCCCCCCTATCGATCCTCCCTCCTTCTCCTCCTCCTCCTCCTCCTCCTCATCCTCCTCCTCCTCCTTCAGGACCACGCTGGCCTACGGCGAGCTCCTGCTGGCAGGTTTGCGTTTTCCTCCTTCTCCTCCTCCTCCTCCTCCTCCTCCTCCTCCTCCTCCTCCTCCTCCTCCTCCTCCAAGCTTGTATCCGTCGCCGCCCCGTTCCTCCGCCGACGGCATGTTCGTATCCTTCTCCTCCGCCTCCTCCTCATCCTCCTCCTCCTCCTCCTCCTCCTCCTCCTCCGGTGCCATTTTGGCTCATGCCTTTCCGTAGGCCCCCTGCTCCTGGACCTTGTCCCCCGGCGTACCCCGAGACCCCAGATTCACGGGGCAGCTTGGCAAGCGTGAGGGACTTGGGGGAGTGGGGCTTTTGGCTCTCGGGGATGGCGGCAGCGGGCGGCCCGACGGCGTGGCGGCCTTCATCGCAGCGGCAGGCTGACATCGACTCCCTGGGCCCGACGGCGGCTCGCCGTGCCGCTCGAAAGCGGCGGCAGGCTGCTGTTGAGGCGGCCATCGGCCGCCGCGCTGGCGCTGGTGGCGAGCCTGGCTCATGGCGCGACCGCGAGCTCGCGTCTAGGCCTGCCCTCCAGTGCGCGGGCAGCGGGCGCCGCGTCCCTGGCAGCTCCAGGCGGCGCCGCAACGCCGCTTGGCACGCCGCGCGGGTGCCGCCTGGAGGCTTCGCTTCGGCGTCCGCCAGCGGCATCGCCTGGGCGGCCGCCGGCCCGCGGCTGGGCTGGGAGGCGGGGCTGCCCTTCGGCCCTGTCCTGGCACGGCGGCACGGGCTTCGGTGCTCGTGCGGGGCAGTCGTCTTCAGCTCGGCGTTCGGCTTCGAGGACGAGGACGGCTTCATGAAGTCGGGCCACCCTGGCAGTGAAGAGTTTCGTGGCGGTAAGTTTGGAGATCTTCCTGCTGGGGGTATGGGTGTCCGCAATGCTGGTGGAGTGCCTGCTGCTGTACTCCCTGTTCCGCTGGTGCATCCTCCCGCTGAGGACCCTGGTTTTCTGGCTCAGGCGTTCGGGGCTCACGGTGTGTCGGACGATCGGCTGGTACTAAAAAGTGTTGGCTCCCCAACTGATGGGAAGGGGGCGGCTCGCATGTATATTCATGTGACGATCGGCTGGTACTGGAGTCTTCGACGGAGGTCCGCCCCAGTGCGCACGGGACGGAGGTGGCGGACATTCGCGGCAAGGACGTCTACGACGGGGACAATGCTGGAGCCCACGGCGCAGGTGGTGCATCTGCTGATGTGCGCCCTGATCGTCTGGTCGAGCGGCTCTCTGGCGAGCATGCTGGCCTTGTGGTGGGTGTCGGGGTTCACGAGGCGTCGACGGTGCTGCTGGCGGCGGGAGCTCTTCGGGCGGCAGCTCCCAGTGATCGTGGGCACGTTTAAGCAGGCACGAGCGCATGGGCTTCGATGGCGTGACCGACTTCTTCGCCTGCTCGCTGTTCGAGGTGGCTTTCATCACGGTGGCCTTCCTCAGCATGTTCTCGGTCCTCTCGGTCCACTACTGAGGACGGCGCAATTGCGCGTTTTTCAAGCCTCTGGCCAGTACGCATGCGGCTGGTCTTTGTCAGGTCAAAAACTTCTCCTCCTCCTCCTCCTCCTACTCCTCCTCCCCCTCCTCCTCCTCCTCCTCCTCCTCCTCTTCCTCCTCCTCCTCCACCTCCTCCTCCTCCTCCTCCTCCTCTTCCTCCTCCTCCTCATCCTCCTCTTCCTCCTCCCCGATCGATCCTCCCTCCTCCTACTCATCCACCACCTCCTCCTCCCCGATCGATCCTCCTCCACCTCCTCCTCCTCTTCCTCCTCCTCTTCCTCCTGCTCCTCCTTCTCCTCTTATCGTTGCCACTGCTACTAACATTCCCATCATGCAGCCGGCGTCTCCAATCGCGCATCGATGGGCTCCAAATGTGACATCCCAGCCTGCTTGCCAGACGCTAGCATATACGACTGGCCATTGGGCCACATGCCACCCACCTGAATTGCAGTGGGCGGTGCACGAAGAGCCGCAGGTCTACATCTTCGCCAACGTTGCGCCGTCAGTCGGCCCATTGAGCCCGCTGCGAAACGTGGAGAAGACTAGCCTTGCAACCCACTGTCTGCGGATGGCACCCGTGCTGCCGGCAGCCCCGCGCTCGAGAAGCTGCCGCCGGGGGAAGTGAACCTTCTTCATCGCCTCTGTTTGCTCTCGATGCATGCTGCTGCCATCGTACTTAAGGACCACATCCCAGAAACAATTTCGAGCGCCCGGAATAGTATCGAAAAGGTGTCGAAACAGTGTCGAAACAGTGGCGAACGAGTGTCTCCCAGGGCCCGACACGCGAAATCCCTCGAGTGTCGGTTCTTTTCTGGTGCTCGAAATTCTTCCTGGTTGTCCAGGCTACAGCAGGCAGGAACACCACAACTCTCGATGCGCTTGCCCATCGACCACGCACACACATACACTGGACATCACCCCGATCACAGCGAGGCCGGGAGCCAACTGGTGCCTCGCGCTGCGAGAGCTGCCCAAGGCATCGGCGAATACCCAGAGATCCGATGTCGTGATTTTTTCAGGAGGGAGTCCCCGGAAGTCTCGACCCATTCCCCAGGACCGGTTTTTCATCCTGAGTCGTTTTTGGACAGTCCCAGGGCCCGGCGAGGGCCGCTAGAGGCCGAAAAGTTAGAAAAAACTCCGTCTTGATTTTTTCAATACGTTGGATCTCTGGGTACACGAGGGCGAACTTGCCACTCGGAGCGGCATGCAAGAGCCTTGCAGCGGCGTCTCGCCAACACCGAGGCTACAGTCGGGGCGTTGACCTAAGGAACCCTAAATATAAGGAACGAGGCCCCCTTCTTTTCCATAAGTTAAACTTCGATTCCCTATCGAAAACATAAGGAAAACCTGAGGCAGGCTGCGAACCACTTAAGGAACGCGGAGCCCCTCCCCGACCAAAAGGGTTCCTTCTTCAGGGCCCCGACTGTACCAGCAGCGCCACAATCAAGGCCCTCAGGCTGTCGACCTGTCTCGGGGGAGGTCGCGAGGAGGAGCGCCAAGGGGGGGAAAGGTTCGACTCGAGCAGGCCGGGCGCGGCTTGAGCCTCGGCCGCGAGGACGACGCGAGGCCTGAGCGCCTGCTCCAAAACAGCACTCCGAGGACACGGGTCCACAACACACTGGGTTCGACGACCGCTCCGTGTCCCCGCGAGGAGAGGGGAGGGGGAGGGGGGGAGGGGGAGGGGGAGGGGGAGGGAGGAGGGGAGGGAGGGAGGGAGGAGAGGAGGAGGGGAGGAGGAGGGAGGAGGAGGGAGGAGGATGGGGAAGGGGGAGGGGGAGGGGAGGGAGGGGGAGGGGGAAGGGGGAGGGAGGGGCGGGGGCGGACCGCTCGCGCCGAGCGGCGCGCTCGACGACTCGCCTCTCCAGACTGCCTGCGCAGGACGGAGCTGGGATGCAACGCCAGAGGCGAGGAGGAGAGGGGAGGGGGAGTAGAGGAGAGGGGAATGCAAGCCAGGCGCGCTCGCGTCATAACTGACGCCACGCCCCGACCTCCCGTCTCTTACAACTGCGTAGAGCCCCTCTCTTGATCAGCACCGTATGATGAAAAGGACAGCGATCCCAATGGGTACGCGATGCATAGCATGGCATAGCATTGCATAGTCAAGCATTGCATATCCTAGCATTGCAGCGCAAGGCATGGCATCGCATAGTAATACATAACACAGCATGGCATGCCATTGCACGGCATGACACTGCGTAGCCCAACGTTGCATACCACAGCATTGCAGAGCAAAGCATGGAATCATTGAGCTGCATACCATGGCTGCATGAACGGTGCAGCCAGAAAAGCATGCTGGAGGACCGACAATTTGGAGATGAGGCCAGTGCTCGGGCAAATTGGACATAAAACGCGGGAATGAGGCTAAAGCTGAAGCGACAGCACCATTCGGAAGGACCGAAAACGCGGAACTGAGACTAACGCTGCAGGAGCACCGTTCGGAAGGACCGAAATGGCGGAATAACACCAGCGCTGCAGCGGGAGCATCGTTCGGAAGGACCAACATCGCGGAAATGAGACCAGCGCTGCAACGGGATCACTGTCTTGAAGGACCGACAGCGATCGGCTTGGAAAAGCACAGAAGAGAAAAACAGGTGCTGACATCTGGTATGTGTGAGAGCATGCAGTTCGCGGAGAGGGCGGGACATCCTCCGGACAGAGTCCGGAGAGAGAGGAGAGTAGCATTAATACCGCGTAATGTGGAGGAGAGGGTGACTACCTACCAGACCACCCCAACCCAACCACCTCCTACCCTCCTCCGGACCAATCTTCCTTCCTCCTCCTCCTCCTCCTCCTCCTCCTCCCCTCCTCCTCCTCCTCCTCCGCCGCCTCCTCCTCCTCCTCCTCCTCCTCCGCCGCCTCCTCCTCCTCCTCCTCCTCCTCCTCCTCCTCTCTGGAGCGGAGGAGGGGGAGAACGCGAACGAGCGACGCAGCGACGGGCTTCCGTCAGTCAGCCCATCGGGCCCGCGGTAAGGAACCGTCGGCGCGCCGGGCTCGCGCGGCCGAGGTGCACGGGGCAGGTCCCCTCGCCGCCGATGGCAGGCGCACGAGCGAGTGGCCGTGGCTCCCAAATATGACGGCTCGCGCACGGCACGGCACGGAAGCCCTGCGCCAGCCGGCGCGCGAGCAGGGTGAAACCGGCAGGATTCCGCCGCTCGGCCACGGGCGCACGGCAGCCTCCCACGCACGAGCGGCTCCGCCCTCTCGGCGAAAAGGATGCAGCGAGCCGCGCAGGAGGGCCGGCCGCCAGCGAGGAGACCCGAGGCGCGACGGGGCCGCTGCGCTGCCTCGAGGGCGGCGGTGGTCCAGGCAACTCTGCCCGTTCGGGAATGCGTGCTGCACGCGGTGACCGCCATGGACACAGAAGACGTGCAGTCGAGCTTGACTGCAGAGGGCGCGCGAGAGGACACAAGACATCGCAGGACCCTTCCGAAGGCCGCTTTGCCTCCTGGAACGCGGAGGACCCGGGACGCGACGCACAGGGCGCACATGGATCTGGCAGGGCCGACACGGCATCGAACTCTACCGCCTGTGACGGCGAGGAAGAACAAACGAGCCTCGGTGGTTCAAAGATGGGGTCCCGAGGGATGGGGTCCTAAGGACGAGGCGCCTCAAATAGTGAAAATCCACCCTTGGATTTCTTCCTGTCCTTAAGATTAGGTCGGGCATGTCCTCCTGCAGGCGGAGTGTGGACGACAAATGCAAAATAGTCATCAAATGACCCAAAGTAGTAGCAACAGAAGGTCGAAACATCGGCCCCTGACGATTTTTTGACTATCTATAAATATTCCTCCTGTAGAGGGTCGGACCCCATCCCTCTGGACCCCATCTTGGAACCACCATGAGTATCGTTTCACCGATCCCCATCCCCAGCGGCGTGGCCTGGGCCCCACTGGTCGGTTTACCCCCCTAGGTGGGGATATGGGTCGTTCCCTTCGGGTTTCGAGGAGTATATCCCCAACTTGGGCGGTAATTTGGAGGGGGTCTCGAAGGGGATGGGGGATAAGGTTAAGTCGGGCGTGTCCCCCTACAGGGGGATTCTGGGCGAAAAATACAAAATACTCAGAAAAAGCCCCCCAATACTCAGAAAAAGTCAAAAAATCGTCCCCAGACTAATTTTTGACTCTTTTCGAATATTCCTCCTGTAGAGGGACAGGCCCAACTTACGGATAAGGATGGGGATGGGCTAAACGATACCGCCACCAGCCGCCACACCGGGCACGGGCGCCCCCACCCGCCGCTGGGCGCACCAAGGCGACCGGCCCGAGAGCTCTCGCCGCTCTCGGAGGCGACCGCAAGGGGGGGAGCAACGCGTGCATCCAGAGGGCCGATGCCCAGAGATCCAGCGTATCGAGAAAGTCAAGACGGAGGTTTTTCTTAACCTTCGGCCTCCAGCGGCCCTCGCAGGGCCCCGGGGCTGTCAAAAAACGACCCAGGATGAAAAACCGATCCTTGGGAATAGTGGGTCGAGACTTCCAGGGGCCCCGTATTGTAGAAATCACGACACGGGATCTCTGGGGATCCGATGTCGTGATTTTATTCATACGGTGTCCCCGGAAGTCTCGACACACTCCTGAGTACCAATTTTTCATCCTGAGTCGTTTTTGGGGACAGTCCCGGGGCCCGGCGAGGGCCGCTAGAGGCCGAAAGCTTCGAAAAACCTCCGTCTTGATGTTTTCAATGCGTTGGATCTCCTGGTCCCTGGGTGGTCTGCGTCCTCGGCGAGTCTCCCTGGCGGATCTGTGTGATGCCCCACCCCTGGGCTGGTCGCCCTCATCGCCGCCTCCGATGCTCCCCTGGCGGCGCGCACGAGGGGGGCAAGGGGAGGGGGGGGGGCTTCTTAGAAGGAGCCTGCCTCTTAGAAGGGGCCGGCCCGAGTTACACCTACAGACTACAGAGAACCCTGAGATCCTGGCGTTGCAATGTTTTCACATCGGGCGCTTTCGCTCGATTTCGGGCCCCGGGACCCTCGCAGATCGATCGGGCTCGAAAAATGACACAGGGAGATGAGGTCCAGGGCTCCGGACGTGACTTCTGCGATGCCGCAACTGTTTGGCAACGTCTGATCTCAGGGAAGGCCCACGCCTTCTGAGGAGCAGGGGTGCTTCTAAGAACCCCTCCGCCCTCCCCCTACCGCCCCCTGCAGTCCCGTGCAGTTCCGTCCAATCTGGGGGCATGTGGGGAGAGGACGGGGGCGGGGAGATTCACCGAACCTTGGCGCCCGTGCTGCATGTACGTACTGTTGCATCGTTCCCAGTCGCCACAGCCATCCTCTGCAGCTAGTGAGTGCCGCACTATGAGCTGACCGCCTCCTCGGCGAACCAGAGCGCGATCCAAACTCTGCCGCCCCCTGCGTGTGTGTGACTGCCCCTTCGCCCCGGCTGCCCTCCGCTTACCAGCCTCGAACGTATCCCTATCCCTAAGATTGACACGCCAGAAGGCGATCACAATCTTAGGGATCCGCCCTCCAAAAATAAGGGCATCCCTAAGATCGGCATCGTGCTGAGGAGGTGCCCAGCATGGGGATAGGGATTATGCTCCAGGCTGGTAGTCCGCCCAGCGCGGCGCCGCTCACCCGCGCGCGCCCGAAGGCCGCCCTCTGCGCCGGGCGAGGGCCCTCGCCCGGCGCCGGCGAAACGCCCTCGGCGCGCGCGCGCGCCGAGGGAGGAGGAGGAGGTAGGAGGAGGAGGAGGAGGAAGGAGGGAGGAAGGAGGAGGAGGAGGAGGAGATGAGGAGGGAGGGAGGAGGAGAGGAGAGGATGAGGAGGAGGAGGAGGCAGCCTCGGCGCGCGGGCGACGCCCCCCGCGCGGGCGCCTCGGCGTGAGGGGCCCCCTCAGAGCGGCGGCGCGCCGGGGGCCCTCAGGCCGCCCGGCGCACCAGGAAGGTGGAGAGGCCGCCGATGGCCTCCGGCCCGATGGCCTCGCCCTTGGAGGTCGTGAGGCCGCCCGCCCGTCTCAGCTCCTCGAAGCGGAGGGCCCTCGCGGCCGCCAGCGTCGGCGCGGGGAGCAGGGCGCCGCCCAGCTCCAGGGCGTACTGGTCCCGGGTGGCCCCCGAGAGGTGGATGCCGTTGCGGGGCGCGGTGGCCTCGAGCACCTCGGCGATGCGCACGGTCTGCCCGAAGAGGTGGTACCGCTGCATGGCCGTCCCGACCACGCCGCCCACCCCCGGGCCAGAGTGGAGTCCTGCGCGCAGGCTGAGATCCCTGGGCAGCGAGTGGCTGTCCTGGAACCTCGCGATGGCAGACACAAACTCTGTGGCCACCAGCAGCATCAGGCAAGCGCTGTGCTTGCCGTCGTTGTAGTCTGGCAGCCCCGAGACGCAGACGTAGGCGTCACCTATGGTCTCCATCTTGTACACGTGGTGCTCTTTGGCCAGGCTGTCGAAGACGCTGAAGAGGCAGTTGAGGACCCAGAGCACCTCCTCGGGCCGCCTGATGTGGGAAAACGCGGTGAATCCCGCGAGGTCGGTCTGCAGCACCGTGACCAGCGGGTAGCTGTGCCACACGCACGGGTTCTGCCGCTGCCCCAGCGAGCCGAACCTCGCCATGCGGAGCTCGCAGACGACGGAGGGCGGCATGACCGTCTCGGCGGCGGCCCTCATGCGCTCCTGGGCCTGGAGCGCCAGCTGCTCCACCACCTGGCGCCGCCGATCCAGCCCGCGCCCCGCCTGCTGCAGCGCCACCAGCGACAGCGTGGCCAGCGCCGGGCCCGGCGCGCGCAGCAGGGCGGCCGCGGCGAGGCCCGCCGCGCACGACGCCCGCGCCACTCCGAGCGGCACGTGCGCTGCGGCGCCCAGGGCCAGCCACGCCCAGGCGACCAGCGACTGCGCGGGCGGCGCAGGCAGCCTGCCGGCGCCCTGCCCCTGCTCCCAGTGGGCGGCCCAGAAGCAGCCTGCCGCCAGCGCCGCCGCGGCCAGGTGCGAGGCGGGCCCCGAGGCCCGCCGCGGGGCCGCGGCAGCGGCCACGGCGGAGGCCTGCAGGCCCGAGGCCCCGCCCGCGCCACCGCAGCGCAGCGCCAGCAGGAGCACCAGGGCGAGCGCCCAGAGCAGGGGCGACGCCAGCGCCTCCGCGCGCCGCGCGGCCTCCGCCCGCAGCACCTCGGCCGGCGGGCCGGCGCGGACGGCTTTCGGCCCTGGCGGCTGGAGCAGCGTCTCCTCCAGCTGCCTCACGGCGGTTTCGAACTCGTCCCTCTCGGCATTGGGCATGATCCCCATTCTGCAGTGCTCGATGGACAGCGGGAGGTCCCCGTCCTCGTCCAAGTCAGCGGAGCCTCCCCCGTTGTCCTCCTCGTCAGCGACGGCGCCCCTCCCGAACCCGAACTGCTCCTCCTCGGACAGCCAATGGGTGGGCGTCTTCGAGGGCGTGACCTCGGGGCAGTCGGAGTCGGAGTCGGAATCGGAGGCGAAGCCCAAGGACTCGAGGGAGGGCACGCTCATCATGCCGAGGCTCGAGCACCTGCTGACCGCGCTGCCCGGCGTGAAGGGCTCGACGACGGCGCTCTCGGCCCCGCCGCTGGAGCCCGCGCACGACGCGGGGCCCTCCTTGGAGTGCGCCCTGGGCGCCTGCTGCGCCTGCGGCCCCGCGGGCGGGGGGGGCGGGCACTGGAGCTGGAACGCGGGGATGTCGCCGAGGCCCCACATCGACAGCGGGCCCCGCTCCTCCACGCCGAAGCCCGCGCCGCGGAGGAGGTCGGCGGCCGCGTCCGAGAGGAGCACCTGCCCGGGGGGGCAGTGCTGCTCGAGGCGCGCCGCGCGGTTCATGGTGTCGCCCAGCACCTGGTCGGACGGCCAGAAGGGGGGCTCCTCGAGCACTGCGAAACACACGCAGAGCGTCCCGTAGATCTGCGAGCATGCTTCGCACGCGTCGCAGCGCGGGGGGAGACCACTTTTCTGTAGTCGGCCTCGCACTCGAGCGTGGCCCGAGGCTGGCAAGCGACGGCCGTCTCAGAGGCACACCGCCCGGGGGCACTCCTACTCAAAGGCCTTCGCACACAGCCCTTCCGTACCCACTTCCGCAGGGGCACAAGCCATGACACACACACACAAAAAAAAAAAAAAAAAAACCTGAGGTCCGCGCGGACTTTTCGGATCGGCGCTGGACCACCCGCCCGGGCGCGCGGAGCGCGCCTCCGGCGCAGGGGCGGCGCCGGAGGCGCCAGCCGGGGGGGGGGGGGCCGGGCGCCGATCCGAGGCATCCGCGCGGAGCTGCGAGTTACCATGCTTCTGTCCTTAGTTGCCCGTTTCCGCCCCGCCGCACCTGGAAGCGCGGCAGGTGGTCGCCCACGATGCCGGCCACGACGGGGCCGCAGTGCAGCCCAGCACGCAGCTGCACGGGGAACTGCCCGGCCAGGTCGTGGGCCGTGCGCGCGAGCGCGGCGAGGGCCGCCATGCCCTCGGGCAGGCGCCGCGCCTCGGCGCCCCCCTCCTCTGGCGGGCCTGCTCTCTGCACGGGGAACTGCCCGGCCAGGTCGTGGGCCGTGCGCGCGAGCGCGGCGAGGGCCGCCATGCCCTCGGGCAGGCGCCGCGCCTCGGCGCCCCCCTCCTCTGGCGGGCCTGCTCTCTGCCACCACCACCATGAGCAGAGGATGGGGATGGGGCCCTCCTCCTCCTCCTCCTCCTCCTCCTCCTCCTCCTCCAACTCCTCCTACTCCTCCTCCTCCTTCTCCTCCTCCTCCTCCTCCTCCTCCTCCTCCTACTCCTCCTCCTCCTCCTCCCTCCTCCTCCTCCTTCCTCTTCGTCCTCCTCCTCCTCCTCCCCTCCTCCTCTCCTCCTCCTCCTCCTCCTTCTCCTCTCCTCTCGTCCCGTCCTTCCTCCTCCTCCTCCTCCTCCTCCTCCTCCTCCTCCGCCTCCTCCTCCTCCTCCTCCTCCGCTTCGTTCCTTCCTCCTCCTCCTTATCCTCCTCCTCCTTCTCTTCTTTCTCCTCCCTCCTCCTCCTCCTTCTTCCCTCCTCTTCGTCTCCTCCTCCTCCTCCTCATCCCTCCTCCCTCCTCCTCCTTTCTCTTCTTCCCCCTCCTCCCCCTCCTTCTGCTCTCCTCTTTCTTCTCGTCCCCTCCCTCCTCCTCCTCCTCCTTCCTCCCCTCCTCCTCCTCCTCTCTCCTCCTCTCCTCCTCTTCCTCCTTCCCCCTCCTCCTCCTCGTCCCTTCTCCTCTCCCCTCCTCCCTCCTACTCCTCCTCTCCTTCTCCTTCCTCCTTTTTTCCCTCGTCCCCCTTCCTCCTCCTCCTCCTCCTTCCTCCTCCTCCTCCTCCTCCTCCGTCGGAGAGACCTCCGCTTCCGTCGTCCTCGTGCCTCCTCCTCCTCCTCCCGCCTCCTCCTCCTCCTCCTCCTCCTTACCTCCTCCTCCTCCTCCTCCTCCTCCTCCTCCTCCTCCCTCCTTCCTCTTCGTCTTCCTCCTCCTCCCTCATCCTTCTTCTCCTCCTCTTTCCGTCCTCCTGCTCCTCCTCCGCCTCTCCTCCTCCTCCTCCTCCTCCTCCTACTCCTCCTCCTCCTCCTCCTCCTCTTCGTCCACTCCTCCTCCTCCTCCTCCTCCTTCTCCTCCTCCTCCTCTCCTCTCCCTCCTCACCCTCCTCCTCCTCCTCCTCCTCTTCGTCTTCCTCCTCCTCCTCGTCCTCGTCCTCGTCCTCGTCCTCCTCCTCCTCCTCCTCCAACATGTGGTGGTGGTTGTGGACAACAGGCCCGTGATCCTCGGGGCCCCGACGCGCCTCAGCGCCGCCGTCGCCCGGCAGGAGGCCGCAGGCGGCCACGTAGACCTCGCCAAAGGTCCCGAGCTCATCAGCAGTATCAGCAGCAGCATAAGCAGCAGCATCAGCAGAATCAGCAGAATCAGCATCATCATCATCATCAGCATCATCAGCATCAGCATCAGCATCAGCATCAGCATCAGCATCAGCATCAGCATCATCATCATCATCATCATCATCATCATCATCAGCAGCAGCATCATCATCATCATCATCGAAAGTATCATCGAAATTATCATCATCGTCGTCATCGTCCTCGTTTTCGTCCTCGTCATCGTCATAATCATGTTCATCGTCATCAGCATCATCATCATCAACATCATCATCATCATCAACATCACCATCATCATCATTATCATCATCATCATCAACATCATCGTAAACATCATAATCAGCAGCACCATCATCATCATCATCATCATCATCATCATCATCAGCATCATCATTAGCATCAGCATCAGCATTACAAGCATAATCATTCTCAGCATCAGCATTAGCACCATCATCATCATCATCATCATCATCATCAGCATCATCATCAGCATCAACAACATCATTTTGCCTCAGCGTTAGCATCATCATCATCATCATCATCAGCATCATCATCAGCATCAACATCATCATTTTTCCTCAGCGTTAGCATCATCATCAGCATCATCATCAGCATCATCATCATCATCAGCATCATCAGCATGATCATCATCATCATCATCATCATCATCATCAGCATCATCATCATCATCATCATCATCATCATCATCGTCGTCATTGTCATCATCATCATCATCATCAGCATCATCATCAGCATCAGCATCAGCATCAGCATCAGCATAAGCACCATCATCATCATCATCATCATCATCATCATCATCATCAGCGTCATCATCAGCAGCAGCAGCATCAGCATCAGCATCAACACTAGCATAATCATCATCAGCATCATCATCAGCATGAACAGTATCATCATCCTCAGCATCAGCATCAGCATCATCATCAGCATCATCATCATCGACATCGTCATGGTCATCATCAACATGATCATCATCAGCATCATCAGCATCAGCATCATCGGCATCAGCATCAGCACCAGCATCATCATCAGCATCAGCATCGTAATCATCATCATCAGCATCATCATCATCAGCATCAGCATCATCATCACCATCAGTAGCAGCACCATCATTATCAGCATCAGCATCAGCATCAGCATCAGCATCATCATCAGCATCAACATTAACATCATCATCATCATCATCATCATCATCATCATCATCATCCTCAGCATCAGCATCAGCATCATCATCAGCAGCAGCAACATCATTATCAGCATCAGCATTAGCATCATCATCATCAGCATCATCAGCATCAGCATCATAATCAGCATTAGCATCATCATCAGCATCATCATCAGCATCAGCATCAGCATCATCAGCAACATCATCATCATCATCAGCAGCATCACCATCAGCATCAGCATCATCAGCATCAAAAGCATCAGCATCATCATCAGCATCAGCATCATCATCATCATCGTCATCATCATGAACATAATCCTCATCCTCAGCATCATTCTCATCCTCATCGTCATCTTCATCATCACCATCATCATTATCATGATCATCTTCATTATCATCATCCCCATCATCGTACTCATCCTTATCCTCCTCATTGTCATCATCATCATCACCATCACCATCATCATCATCATCACCACCATCATCATCATCATCATCATCATCATCATCATCATCATCATCATCATCATCATCATCATAATCCTCATCATCATCATCATCATCATCATCATCGTCATCATCATCATCATCATCATCATCATCATCATCAGACCTCGCCGTAGGTCCCGAGCTTCATCACCGCGGGGCCAGCGGCGTCGCAGGCCGTGTCGAGGGAGGAGAAGAAGGTGTTCAGGAACCGGACGATCGCACGCTGGGAGCCTCCGGCCACGAGCTGGTCAAAGTCGTGGATGGCGAGGAAGAGCACGCCGCACTGGGAGACCCGCTCGCCCATGCAGACCCGGATGCCCATGGCATCTGCCGCGCTGGGAGCCCCGAGGCAGTGCTTGAAGTAGCGGCGCGCCAGCGGCGGAGGCAGCATGCGCGTAAGCAACTCGTAGAAGTGGTACGCTTTGCTCGACATGCGGAGTTCCTGCAAATAGAGCGTCTTCAGCGCTGAGCACGCCGCAATCTGCACGCGCAGCGCTAAGCAGGCCAAGCAGAGTATCACCACGGCGACGCTGAGAGAGCCGCCCGCCAACGCGGAGGCGGCCACTGCAGAACCGCAACCCACAGTGATCAGCGTCATGCGCTGGGTTCGGGGCGTGGTGTACCCTGCGAGCATCACCGGAGCTATGCCTGCGGTCAGGGTCGAATCGGAGACTGCTCCAGAAGCCAGCGCGCGACAGGAGTGGGCGAGCATGCCCGCCACCGCGAGCACCCAGAGCGCCCTCGAAGCGGACACCGCCTGCCCGGAGGCGCCACGTCGCGGCCTCGCCCACCACCTCCTGGGGAAACCAGAGGGCGCCGATGCCGAAACTGCCCTCCTCCTCCTCCTCCTCCTCCTCCTCCTCATGCTCCTCCTCCTCCTCCTCCTCCTCCTCCTCCTCCTCCTCCTCCTCCTCCTCCTCCTCCTCCTCCTCCTCCTCCTCCAGGGTGCGTTCTGACCAGAGTTTTGAGGCGAACGAGGCCTCCCCGGGGAGACCGAGACCGTGGCGACGAGGGCCTCCCATGGGGAGAACGAGCCGGGGGCAGCGGCATCGGTCCCCTCTTCCTCCCCCGAGCCTCGCAAACAGCGAGGCGGCGAACGCCAGCGCGAGGCCCGCACGTGCGCACAGGCGGAGCTGCGCCGGCCCCGCCTCGACGACGCTCGCCGCGGCGCTGGCCGCCGCCGCCAGCCACGAGAGCCGCCGCGCGGCCGCGGGGTGGGGCATGCGCGCCCAGCCCGCCTCGAAGTCCTCCTCCTCCTCCTCCTCCTCCTCCTCCTCCTCTTCTTCTTCTTCTTCTTCTTCTTCTTCTTCTTCTTCTGTTTCTTATTATTCTTCTTCTTATTATTATTATTTTTCTTCTTCTTATTATTATCATTATTCTTATTATTCTTATTATTCTTATTGTTATTCTTCTTATTATTATTCTTCTTATTAGTATTTTTCTTCTTATTATTATCATTATTCTTATTATTATTATTCTTCTTCTGATTATTCTTCTTCTTCTTCTTCTTATTCTTATTCTTCTTGTTATTATTTTTATTATTATTATTATTATTATTAGTATTATTATTATTAGTATTGTTAGTAGTATTAGTAGTATTAATATTATTATTATTATTATTATTATTATGTGTTCGTCTTCTTCTCCTTATTCCTATTATTATTATTAGTATTATTATTAATATTGTTATTAATAATAATATTACTAATATTATTATTAATAATATTATTATTATTATTATTATTATTATTATTATTATTATTATTCGTACTCTCATTATTATAATTATTATTGTTATTATTATTGTTAGTATTATTATTATGCTTATTCTCTTGCACAGGGTGTCTAGAGCTCCGACCACTTTATTTCGGCGTC